AGCATTCTTTCTACAAGAGAAAATCTGATTAAAAACTAATACTGGAAAATCTGAATGGGAACATCATGAAAAGTAAATAAATGGATATTATGCATCTTCCTCAAAGAGTTAGTATGTGTGGTTTTTAGGTTACTACTCAGAGGAAAAAAATTATGATACCATTACCATGATGCACATTTTCCAACACTGTCACTTGACTGGTAGTAGGTTTGGATCCATTCACCATTTTTCAATTCTGATAGATGACATTTTACCAAAGCCATTTGATATTTTTAAAAAGTAACACCTACAGTGGGATTTTTTGGAATTAAAGGGTAAAAATCTATTACCTGCCTAAAATCTGAAATCTGAATATTTAGACTTTTTATAATTTAAAAAGGCAAAATTTAATATAACTCCAAATAAAAGCCAAAACAGAATTGGCCAAGCATAAGAACATTGTACACTATATTTTTTATAGTGTTTTTGTGTACAAGAATGACTATGAAATTAAATTGTCTTATTTCTAGCAATTTTCTTCCATAAACAAGAGCCATCACTGCTTAGAGGGTTGCTTGCAAACTTACTAGAAATATTTTTTGGAGAATATTCTAGTCTTCAAAACAAACAGTAGCTGTCAAATTCTTACTGCATAATCTAAAATGTTAATCCATGTACTGTATTTCATTTGTAATAAGTCTTTGTGATAAGGTTAACACTTCAACACACAACACAAATAAGAGAGCACCGAAAAATGAAAATTACTTTGCTTATGTTTCCGTATTAGAATTTTATTTGCTAAAGGGTAAAAACAGATTTGCAAAATTCACAGTTAACTTAAAACAATAGTTTTAAACCTTTTATTCCTAGCCCTTACTGCCTTCAGGAAGGAGAGAACATCTGGTTATTTAAGGAACACAATATGTTCACATTTTCTATGACTTTTGTTTCTAATTGGGTTTTAAAATTTTTTTTTTTGAATTTGAACAACTAGTTAGAACAATGTTTTTTAATCACTTCATATTTTTCAGACTGTCCTCCTTCTATCCCTCTACTTCATTTAGTGGATTGTTTTTGGAAATCTGCTCAGTGGTTCTAATATGATAAAGACAAGACAATGAGAATTAGGATCATGGTCTGAGGAACTAAGTACAGAAACTGTATTTATGGTGAACAGAGTATATAGGATGCTACAAACAGATATCTGACATTTGGTGTCTTTACATAGCATAGATTTAAGAAAATTTCAAATAGTTCTAGGTCCACTTATATACATAGTAGTTTTATTTATTACAGATATAAATTAAATGTCTATTATAAATTGAATAATTTTTAATGACACATACTAGTAAACAGGAGTCTACTAGTTTTAAAAGCTATAGCTCCTGTGTGGAAAGGTGGTTGGAAGACCTGGGTTCAACTGCTGGCTCTGCCACTGACAAGCTGTATTAAAGAAGTCTCTAACTTCACTTAGATCCTTAGTTTGTTCAACTACAGAAGCAGAAGCTGGATTAGAACTCTGGGTTCCCTGCAGTTCTGAAATTCTGACAGTCACAGTAGGGTATATTAACTAGATTCTTTGTTCTGTCTTTTTGTTCCATAATACTTGAAGGTGGTGATAGGATTTCAAACAATTCTGACACAAAGCAAATTAAGGAACTAGATGCCCTTTAAGTTCAAGTTGTGGGGTTCATTCACCATCTTGATAAAAATGGCAGCTGACATATACACAACTGGCAATGGCTTCCATGGGATGTGGGTCTGGGTTCCAGAAATACGCTAAATGAGTGAGAGCCACTTAGATTAGAGTCAATACGGTATACTGGGAGAGGCTTAGCAACTGTGTCAGAATTCAATTCTACCATTATTTTCTTAATACCATCTACTGCAGAACACAAAGCTAAACACTAAAAAATGAGCAGAATCATACAGAATAATGGATGCAAAGAAATAAGAAAACAGCTAAAATACAGGGTCCTTAGGGGGACTCAAAGGCAAAAATATGTCCTATCTGAGCCTGGGAATGGCTTCCTGAAGGAGGTAGAAGATATGCTGGGAATCTCAGGAGGAGATGGATACATACAAGGGTCATGGAGTCACTCTAGCTAGCTTGGAAGCTTATGAGTTTTTGGCCTTGGGAAAGCCACATAACCTTACCCTGTCTACACTGAAAAAGAATGAAAAAAGATAACCTCCTTTGTCTAACTCCTAGCTTGTTATAAGGACTGAAGTGAGCACATCAAAGTGCTTAGAGACTATGAAGGAGGATGATCTTCTTATTACAGTTTACAGCCCCATTATTTCACTCTGTTCAAATAAGAAATCTTTTCGCAGTAAACCCTACATCTGATATAAAACAATTAAAGCTCAGTGTCTCGTGCTCTAGTTGCAGAGTCTGTTCTCAACTGAGAAATCTCCACTGGGATTTATGGAAAGCGGTAGGACAAAGTGCTTTTCTGAAGCTGGCAATGAACTTGGAGGGCTCAGAGTTCCTTGTTTATTTTTATTTTATTGAGTCTGTCAGCAGCACTCAACACTACTGTCATAAGGAACTGGGCTATGCGAAAATGTACTTTCATGCCTCAAATCTCATCCTTCTACTAGTTCACTTCACAGAGACTCCGTGTGTTTATATACTTACTCTTATCTCCTTGAATTGGGAATGATTCAAGTATTTTAAGTGTTTCATTGTTAATAATAAATAGGAAAAAAATTAAGCACGCTAATGTTTGGATTTTTAGAGGATACGGGCGGGGTACTAGCACAATCTTTCCCTCTTTTTCTTCCCCCTCAGTGTAAATGGCCTGCTTTATGAATTTATAATGACATAACCGCACTGAAAACTCTGTCCACTTGTGGATTTCTACGCTATATATAAACTTGTGCTGTGTGTCTGCTTTCCGTAGCACTGGACTGGATCTTATTAGATCACTGTAAGTCAGTTCTTTGTGGACAAAGGAGCTCTGGCTGGGCGGGTCATTAGATACAATTTAATTCAACCCCAAAAGAGAAGGCCAAGATACAGCAAGCATGAGTTTCCCCAAATCACAAGGATGGTTTTTAGCAGAGTCAAGATTTGACCCAGTGTCCTGAGTCCTAATTCAGTCTCCTTGCTCCTTAACTAGATGTATCATCTTGCCGGGTTAACCATGTGAAAGCCCCTTAAAAAAATATACATCTTTCTTTATTTTTCCTATAGATATCATCATTCTATAAACTTGTTCTCAACAGCCTTTTAAACATGATTCCCTCCACTGCCTGATCAATCTCTTCTATCTCAGAAATATCGGTTTAGGTCCTATATTTTGGACCATTATCTTGATTATGTTTTTACTTAGTTAGACCCTAAATGTGAAAGTGGAGAATACTTTTTTTTTTTTAAAGATACTTAGGCTATTATGCTATTATTTTTTCTCTTAATCCTTAGAGAATATATTTTTTAATGCTTATAGACTTGGGTTTATTATAATTCTATCATGCACACTATCTTATTGAGATAAAAAGTGCTCTATTAAAATCACAGATTCCACTAATAACACTGACAGATTTATTATACAGAAACCTGCCTCTAGGAGAGTGGATGATTCATAGCAAGATCAACCATATTTAGCCAGGGAAAAATTACCAAGATCAATAGGTTTAGATAACATATTCACTTCTCCCTTCAGCAAAGCCAAATAAATCATGTAAGTACAGAATTCAGATAGTTATTTTAACAAGTTTTTCCCCCACTCTGTATGATTCTAAGAATTCCTAATACTGAGCTGACAGAATTTACCTTAAGTTTACAGACCAAAACTCACATACCTCATTGACGAGTAGTCAAATTCTTTAATTCTTTTATAGATATTTCATAGTTGTGGTTATTTTTTATAAAAAATACATACATAAAAATATGGGATTTTTGATTTTATAATCAGACTCCTACGCTTTACCAGAAAAAAAATTTTACCTTCTGTATCAGAGAAATTATGGATTATATCTCTAATACTCAATGAAATATTGTGTAGGAGAAGTTATATAAAATTGTGTATGTTTGTAGAAAATGGTATAAGCACAAGGAAATAAAATCTTTTAAATCTATCAAAGAATAAATAAAGGTCATACTGAAATGTTGAAGTCAATAGTCGAGGGAAAGCAGAAATCCTTTCGAATTAAAATTTACGTTAAACTTGGAGGCCCAAGTCGATCAGACAGAGCTTTGGCAATGGATCCACAGACAGACTGACTCAAAGACAGTTTGACAACTGCCAACATGACTGTTGGGAATTCTGCCAAAGAGCCAAAGGCTGGGATTACCACCCAATGCCTGGCATTCTCATACTTGTGTTTGAAGCTCTCTCTCTTATACTTCATCCAATATTTTTGTTTGGCTCAAAAGCATCAAGGATTCACAGATTTTTTTAGATCATTAAATGTTCTTATTTTCAAGAAATATAACATTAGTTGTAAAAGAGCACACTTCTTCTCTGAAGTGTAAAGAAAATTTTGGTGGCTTGCTTTAAGTTCAAATAGAGAAATTAGCATTAAAGTCTGTTTAAATCTTTATTTCATTAGGTAACTCTTTACCCACAAAATAAAAAATACATATTCCTAATATGAAATGATTTGAGTATTTCATTATGTCTAAAACTTTCACAGAACCAGTCCTTTTTACAGCTTTAATGTCTTGCTCCTCACATGGCCTCTGAGGCTCTTCCTGTGAGGAGTACCAATGATGATTAAGTGTGGCTATAAGGAGAAGCAGTTGCTGAACTACTTCCTTGAGTTATGAGGAAGGAGGAGGGCAGAACGACCTTCTGAGGGACAAGAGATGTGTGTTGCAGGTTCTCATGGCAATGTCCATTTAAGTTACCTGCTAAGTTGCTAGCCAGTGAGGTATGTGAGTTTTGCCTAAGGCTCTAGGCAGGCAAATTCTGTTATTAGGCAATTCATCGGTCATCACACAAATTCCCCATTCATGCCGAGAAACCAATTTTCCCCCAACTTAAAATTGTGCGTATTCTCTTTGGAAAGCTTACCTTTGGATCTCGAAGGAACAGAGCCTTAAGAATCAATGAGTGTACATCCCCAATTAGTGGGTAATGCATCAGAAGGCCAAGACAGGTCTGGTAGTTACTAGAGATCACTAAATAAGAGGGGAAAAAAAAGGAATTCAGAAGCAATACTGTTTAAGATGTTTGCATTACTTGAGAGTAAAAAAATAACAACTTAGATTCAAAGAAAGTAAACCAATAACTCAATTAATTTGATAAAAGGAAATAGGGAGAAGGGATCTTTACCAAATGGCCTTTGAAGCAGCACACTTACTGTTAACTGCAATCTAATATCTAGCACTTATCCTCAGGGGGTGTTGGAAGAAGAGCCTCAGATATAGGGATGTGTACGTTTGCAATATAAATAAACTCTTAGAAGCATGCATATTTATTGCCATTTATATGCCTGTGTTTAAATGTCTCTAGTTTTGCTACTTAGAAATTAGTAACAAAAATCTTATGAATGGGAAAGAACCAGTTTAAAATTCTCATAAAATAATATTTACCCTAATTATTATGCTTCCTAAGTTACATATGTTACATTTATTCTTCTATATATAAATATTACATAATTCAAAGTTAAAAAATGTAATTTCTTCCAATTATTTTTTTCTAAAGGTAATGAGAAATTTAGGGAAGAGTATCTATGCAGCATTTCTTGGAGGAAAAATGTCAAAATCTTCATAGATAAGCCTAACTGTGTTCCTTAGACTGTCATTTAATTTTTTTCCCAAATCAACCTAATTATGGGCGCAATTATTAAACACATCTTTTCAGGCAGGTCTATGTAAACTACTTCATTTCTTGGCAATCCATCTGCCACTGCTGTCAGAGTCGGGCCCATTAACGATGCTTGTTTTGTAAGCCACACTGCCTCCACAGCACTGATTGTGAAGAAACTTTACAGTTACAACTTCGTGTTGTTGCAACCAAATCCTTTTCATTAATCAGAACAAGCAGCTGAAAAATATTCCATAGGAAAACTGAGTCTATAGAAACAACACAAATCACAACATTAACAACTGTTTGTGATCAGAAATACCCTTGATTATTAGACTTTTTTTTTTCCTTTCTTTTGTTGGAAGCACCATTTTTTGCAACAACTTCTTACCCCTCCCCCTTCCTATGAACATTATGGGGAAAGGAGACAGGACTGGGCAAAATGAATAATTATAATCTATGTAAGGAACCACTTTATCATCTTCATTTCCGTTGCTGATCTGACAGCTTGTAATTTCATACATCTGCTTTCATTTGTAAAGCACTCACTTATCCTACCTTTTCTATATCTGTTCAGACTCTTTTCTTCTTATGCCTTCATTTTGTCATATTCACATTCAGTTACCTGTTGTCCTTTTTCCTCTAGAATTTGAAAAGCTAGTATACTGAGAATGGTATAATGTTTCCATGTAGGGTTTTCTTTGAGAGTTAACTAATAAATAAAACTTAGATAATCAATTCATTTTCCAACTCTTCCTTTCCCAAATACTATGATGTTTATATACTAGTAACTGGCCCGGGAAGAATTCCTGTATATTTTGTAAGAGAAGCAAATGGTTCTGGGCTCTGGATTCCGAGATGTGGGTCTGAATCCCGGGACACCATCTGAACCTTTTCTAAGGTTGCTGTAAGATCAAAGGACATAATCTGTTCAGCCAGTGGACAGACGCTCATCAAAACCTGTTGTGGGTAACCTCTCTGAGCTTCAGTTCGGTCATGTGGAGAACAACTTCCTGATTTAAAAAAAAAAAGTGACCTGCTGAATTTATTCAATCCAGTAGCTATTTGTTGAGTACCTAATCAATGACAGGTGCTATGTTTAGAGGGGGTGCAGAGATAAACAAAAAACAGTCCTTACTCTGAAGAAAATCAAAGTGCCAAAGGGTAGATATAGAAAGAGAAGGGGTTATTACTACTAATACCACTAAGATGACAATCAATCCCTAAAGACTTACCGAGACTAGGCCCTATTCCAAGAGCTTTCCCTATATTATCTCATTTAATTTTTATGACAGTCGTGTTATAAGGGTAAAATTATTATCCCTGTCTTACAGGTGAGAAAACTAACACTTGGAAAGGTTAAGTCATTTGCCCAAATCATATAGTGGTTTGGTAGTGGAGCAAGATTTGAAATTTCGAAGCCTAGCTACAGGGTCCAAGCTCTAACACATGGCTTTGTTTTGAAAAAGCAATTGTTTTAAAAATCAGAGAACACAATGATGCAAAGAGTCACTGAAAACTAGAAGAGTCAATTAGTATTATTACTCTCACATGGTAGTTTTGAGGAGCTTGGAAGGTCAGCATAACTCAGTCTCTAGGAGAGCCTGATATAGACAGGTATTTATTTGGAGGGACGAGGGCAATAATCCTGTTCTTACAACTAGACAGAACTTTTGAAGCTGTCGGAAGCTATAAAGTGTGTAAGGGAAGCCAACTAATACGTTAATATTCCACTTGCAGAATGAATGAAGGCGCTAACATTCCTTCTTCCATTTCTTCCTTTCATCCATCCAGTCACTGAACATTATTGAACATTTCCTGAGCATCTTCTATATCCTGCACACACAGAGACAATGCTAGGTATACTAGGTACTAGGGATATAATGGCAAATGAATCTGAGCTCTGAAGGGTAGCAGAACATGCCGCCTGAAATACTGCTCTGGGGTACTCACTTTGGCAGCACATACACTAAAACTGGAATGACAGAGAAGATTAGCATGCAAATTCATGAAGCAAAATCCTGCTCCAGGAGTACAGGACATGCCACCCTAAAGTATGCCACTTGTGTATATTGATTGTTTTGACCTGTAGGCACTTGAAAAACAGCAAATGCACAGTGAGACTTTTCTCTGAATTCCCCTTATCTGCCTAAAGATAAATCCTCCAGAAGGAAGTCAGTTGTAATAAATTCCCCCAAGACAAACTTTGTCACAGATTCATACCTCTCATCTAGTCTTCTAAGGGCCCATTCGTCTTTCCTAAAAATCCTCTCCACCTTTCTTTATTAAGGTGGTATTTAATCCTGAGTTCTAAAACCGTATCTTTGACAGTTGGTCATCTTCCTAAGTTTCTACCATATACAAACGAGGCATACATTTATATATATGTCAACATATGTTAACTACATAACTATAATATATATTTATTATATAATAGAATATATAATCATATAATAATAAAACATACATATGTTAATAAACTTCTGTTTTTCTAATTAACCTTTCTTTTTTTTTTTTTTGTGAAAGAAACCCAGAATATGTTTCTTCCTAGAAACATCACGAAAGGCAAGGGAAACAAGGGCAAATATGAACTACTGGGACTTCACCAAGATCAAAGGCTTTTGCACAGCAAAGGAAACAGTCAACAAAACCAAAAGACAACCGACAGAATGGGAGAAGATATTTGCAAATGACATATCAGATAAAGGGCTAGTATCCAAAATCTATAAAGAACTTATCAAACTCAACACCCAAAGAACATATAATCCGATCAAGAAATAGGCAGAAAACATGAACAGACATTTCTGCAAAGAAGACATCCAGATGGCCAACAGACACATGAAAAAGTACTCCATGTCACTTGGCACCAGGGAAATACAAATCAAAACCACAATGAGATATCACCTCACACCAGTCAGAATGTCAAAAATTACCAAGTCGGGAAACGACAGATGTTGGCGAGGATGTGAAGAAAGGGGAACCCTCCTACACTGTTGGTGGGAATGCAAGCTGGTGCAGCCATTCTGGAAAACAGCATGGAGGTTCCTCAAAAAGTTAAAAATGGGGTGCCTGGGTGGCTCAGTGGGTTAAAGCCTCTGCCTTCAGCTCAGGTCATGATCCCAGGGTCCTGGGATCGAGCCCCGCATCGGCCTCTCTGCTTAGCGGGGAGCCTGCTTCCTCCTCTCTCTCTCTCTCTCTCTCTGCCTGCCTCTCTGCCTGCTTGTGATTTCTGTCAAATAAATAAATAAAACCTTTAAAAAAAAAAGGTGAAAACAGAGCTACCCTACGACCCAGCAATCACACTACTGGGTATTTACCCTAAAGATATAAATGTAGTGATCCAAAGGGGCATGTGCACCCGGATGTTTATAGTAGCAATGTGCACAATAGCCAAACTATGGAAAGAACTTAGATGTCCATCAACAGATGAATGGATAAAGAAGAGGTGGTATATATAAACAATGGAATACTATGCAGCCATCAAAAGAAATGAAATCTTGCCACTTGCAGTGATGTGGATGGAACTAGAGGGTATTATGCTGAGCGAAATAAGTCAATCAGAGAAAGACAATTATCATATGATCCCTCTGATACGAGGAATTTGAGAGGCAAGGTAGGGGGTTGTGGGGGGTAGGGAAGGGAAAAAGTGAAACCAGATGGGATGGGGAGGGAGACAAACTGTAAGAGAGAGACTCTTAATCTCACAAAACAAACTGAGGGTTGCTGTGGGGAGGGGGGTAGAGAGAGGGTGGCTGGGGGATGGACACTGGGGAGGGTATGTGCTATGATGAGTGCTGTGAAGTGTGTAAACCTGACGATTCACAGACCTGTACCCCTGGGGCAAATAACACATTATATGTTAATAAAATAATTTAAAAAGAAGAAGAAAAAAGAAACCCAGCTGAAAATCTAAAAGATATAGGTACAGTTTTACCTCTGCTATAGTCCCATTTTCAGATAATACTATCTCTAATTTATTAAGGAAATCTTGTACTTTGAGAACACTTAATTTGCAATTACCTATGCTAAGTATTAAGTCCCTTTTGAATTACTGTGCCCAATTTAGAGTAGGAAGGGAAAACAACACAAGTTGTTTTATAAACAAAATAGTGGGGATCTGACAGAGTAAGAATTTACTTTTGATCTTTACCCCAAAGTTTTGCTGAACGTGAGAAGCTCATGTGCAGTGCTGTTCCTTCCCTAACATTGACTCCATCAGAGCAGGGCAGTAACACAGGAAACAAAGTGAAGATTTAAAAAAGGCCAAGTTTTGGTATCTCCCTACATTTGAAATCAAGCATGTATATGCTCCGAAGACAAAGTACTGAAGCTACACACTTTGAAGAGCGTGTTCAGAGAAATGGAAGACAAA